TGATTAAAATTTTCAGTGCTTATTTTGGTTGGGGGCGGGTTAACTTTACTTTTTTATATCCCGGGACGGTTTCCTTTGGGCCCAAAAATAACGGCCCCCCCCCCCCCCGACCCCGCCATATAGAAGACCATCGGGATCTACATTGTTCTCGAGCAACTCAATTTTAGTTTTCGCAAACAAACACGGAGGGGACGTCAGGAAAACATGCCTACCAGTAGTCTTCTAACAGCCGATAAAGGGCAGCAATATACACACAACACCTTTTATTTATGCTAGGTTCACAAAAGACCAATCAAGAACAAAAGCCTAGAACGAAACTTACAAGAAACTGACTCTCCTTATCAACTACACTTAACCATGAACAACATTCCCGAAGAAGATACCGAAATACTGGCGGAGGCCCTGAAAGTAAATAAAACTCTCACTCAATTTGACCTAACCAAGAATAAAATATCTGATCACTGGTTGAGGCACTGGCAGACGCCTTGAAAGTCAATAAAACGCTCACGCAGTTAAAACTAAGTTCGAACTATATATTTGGTGAAGGAGGTATAGTACCGGCACAGGCCTTGAAACTAAATAAAACTCTCACTCAACTTGATTTCGATTACAACCAAATATCTACTCGAGCAGGTGAAGCACTGGCAGTCGCCTTAAAAGAAACTCATATTCTCACTCAACTTAATCTTGAACAGAATGAAATATCTGATCGAGGAGGTGAAGCCCTAGCAGATGTCTTAAAAGTAAATAAAACTCTTACTCAACTAAATGTACGCTCGAACCAACTATCCGAGCGCGGAGGTGAAGCACTCACAAATGCATTGAAACTAAATACAGCTCTCACTCAACTAAATCTGGGTTAGAACCAAATATCAGATCGAGAAGGTAAAGCAGTGGCAGATGCCTTGAAGGTAAACACTACTCTTACTCGACTAAATCTGGGTTCGAACCAAATGTCTCCTCGAGCAGGAGAAGCACTGGCGGATGCCTTGAAAGTTAATAAAACTCTCGCTCAACTTAATCTTGGAAAGAACGAAATATCGGCTCGAGGAGGTGATGCGCTGGCAAATGCCTTGAAAGTAAACAAACTCTCAGTCAACTAGATCTGAGTTCCAACCAATTATCCGATCGAGGCGGTAAAGCACTGGCAGACGCGTTGAAAACAGATAAAACTCTCAGTGAGCTAAGTCTGGGTGAGAATTCGATATCTGTTCGAGGAGGTAAAGCACTGGCAGACGTATTGAAAAGCAATAAAACTCTCACACAACTTACCCGTGTCAACTATCGCGATAAAAAATCGCGGCGCGAACGCGTCACGCGATCGCTTATAGACTCGCGAAATTTCTTGCCAATTTCGCGGTTGCTATAAAGTCGCGATGGAACGGGATTTTTCCTATATAGTCGCTACATTCACGACGCGACTCCCTCATTTTCTCCTTTTAATGGGTGCGACGCATTTTTCTCCAGGATTCCTTCGGATTCTCTTGGAATCCATAAGGTTCCCTTGGATTCTCTGGAACTTTCCCCCAAAACAGAACATTCTGTTTCGGGAGAAGTGTAGAATCCCGGATTCCATCAGAGTCCACCTGATTCCATCGGAGTCCACCAGATTCCACCGGATTTCTACTAGATTCCATAGATTTTCAGGATTTCAGGATTCCGTGCTTTCCCCCTTGTGTTTTACTCGGACTAGTCTCTCGTTTAAATCCTTGCGGCGTATTTCTGTCTACATCCTGAAAGTCACCAACGACAAAGCGATCTTACACCGAGGATACTCACGATTGCGATGACATCAACCTTTGGTGCTTTTCTCACTTTAGTGTATTTTTATTTTGAGACCTTGCGAAGTTCATATATTCAACGAAGTTGTACATGGTAGAAGTCCCTAGATTTCACACATTTTGTGAAAAAGAGCACCCAGTTTTGGTGTTCAAAATAGTTAAACAAAACGATTTCAACTTTGTGACAACAAAAGTCGAAACGATTTGTTTCCATGCTCTTTCGTTCGTTGAAATTGCTGTGTACTTACTTTATATATTACTTATTTTTTGAAAAAGTGAAAAAAAATAGATATAAACTGCAAAAAATTCGAGTTTTATTCGTTAAATCGAGTAATAGTCTGCACACTACGTTAAGAAAATATGAAGTGTCTTGTACATAACGGGCACTGAGTTCTTTTACATATCTCATTTAAAATGAGAATAACAAGAACACACATCTTCAATCACACACGTATCTACAGACACGTAGTATACCATTTATGTTATAAATAGAATGTGGACTATCTATTGAGAAATTCTTCTCGTGTTAAACAACGTTTACTCAAAGTATTTACATCATTCAACTAGTTTCACTCAGAACAGATATCAACTGTTATACACCGCTCGATAGAGAATTTCACGAGGTACAAAATGATATATGAGATAGCCTTAAGGAAATGTAACTGAGTAGTCGTCTAACACCCAAAATACTCAGTAGCATCCCAGGAAACCGGTAGGTCAACATCGTTCATGTTTATAGTGGTGACTAATTTTCTCGTTAACCACTCTACTTTACACATCATTCGATAGAGAATTTCACGAGCTTTAAAATGAGCTATAAATAAGCCTTTGAAAAAATGCCACATTGGTCAATAGTTGAAATACTTGACCGATATAACTATTTTCATGTATCTTATTGTTGTGAATACTCCGTTCGTCTTTATTCTGCGATAACGAAAGATTATGTATTTTTCAAAAACATACCATTGGATAGCCCGTGAAATTCTCTACAAACTGAGCTGGTCACAATATCCAGACAGTGGGACGTATCTATAGACACCTAGTATACCATTTATGTTATAAATAGAATGTGGACTATCTATGTAGTGGAAATAAAATATCTGATCGAGGAGGCGAAGCAGTGGCAGATGCCTTAACATAAAAGTCAATAAAATTCTCATGCTGCTTACTCTTTGCAAGAACCAAATATCTGATGCTGTTTCGACAGTCCTATGTTTATTGCTTTTGTTTTCTTGTCTTTAGTCACAAAAACAGCCTGATGCAGAAGAAGATGATTTAGGTGGTAGTGCTGCTCAAAAAGAAAAAATATCATTTTTAAAAAATAATCTTGATCAATTAACGAAAGTCCACAAACAGGTTGGTTGTCTTTTCTAATTGTTACTTAGTATACCCACTAACTGTTCTTCTATACTTGTCCAGCTTGTGCGTGAAAATGCGAATTTACGTTGTGAATTACCAAAATTAGAAAAACGGCTTACAGCTACAATGGACCGTGTTAAATCGTTAGAACAAGCACTAAAAGAAGCGAAAGAAAGTGCAATGGAAGATCGTAAACGTTATCAATGTGAAATTGATCGTATTAGAGAAGCTGTTAAACAACGTAATCATGCACGACGAACAAACACAGCACAAATTGGTATAGTACACTGTTTTCTCTTTCGCATCATGTTGTACATCTCTCTTTGTTTTTGCTTTAGTGGAACCAATACAAGCAGGGCAGAACCCTTCAACCAATACATCAACACCTATTCCAACTATTCGTGGCGGTAGTCAATCTACAGAACCTTAATTAGGTATATTATTATTTATAGTATAAAAGAGGATAAAATCTACGGAGTAATCCTAGGACAAGTTTCGTTATACTTTAGTAATTATATTGTAAAAAAGGTATCTATTTGTTTATTTTAGGTGAATTGGAGATTACAAAAGAAAATGATGATGAAGGTTTACACATTCAAACGTGTTTATCTCATTTTCACATACCACAAACGTCTTTTTCTTCTCTCATTTTTAATGTATTTTATAGACTAAATGCACATATTACTACTGTTTCTACAACTTATTCTTTCTATTTCCCGTTTTGTATGCTTTACAATTTCGTAAAATGGCTTCAGGGGCTTGGCTAGGGGGATCGAGTTTCAGAGGCTTGTTTCAGTCAGTGTATTTCTGCTATGGCATATTAAAATTTCATAAAAATCAGTTCGATATGCAACTTTTCGCAAGGAATTCAATGGTAATACAACAACAAATTGATTCTACTATTAATACGGTCCTATGTGAGAGTCTAACCAAAATCAAAGTCTCTTCGAGAAAATGTTTGGCACATTTATCAAGCTTTGATATAAATTTATCAATATTTGAGATTGTGTTCGATGTTTGTGTGACTAAAGAAACTCTTTTTTTTTTACTAGAATATTGCCTCGTTCATCATCATCACAACTTGTACCAGTCGTATCATACGTACTCAATGGACGTTTCTTTGACTGCCTAGGGGGAGTAGGTAGTGCTGTGGCTGATGATTGCAATAAAATTGTCAAATTGTCTTCGTCATCATCTTGATCGTTTAAAATTCGAACTGAAGCTTTTTTGTTTTTTATTGGTTTTACAAGTGGAGTGGATGATCGTGTCAATTTTGTTTTATCTGAGCTTTGAGTCGTTGTTTGTTGTAATAGTGGTCATGTAAATCAGTTTGTTTTTCTTTTCTTTGACTGTTGAGATGAAAAAAAGTAGCTACCATTTTGTTGGTCTTGAAAAGCTCTATCTTCGACCTATAATTCAACTTTTGAATTTTTTTCCTTTCATTTTTGCGAAAATTGTCATTCGTAAAGAGCACTTTTGCATCGCTGCGTGAAATTTTCGGAGCTCGTTCAAAATCAAACATGTTTGGTTTGGGTTGTTTTTGTTTGTACGAGAAACAAAGTGTCTATTGTGTTCAAATAGGAAAAGTCTCAAAACTTTCTTTCTTCAAATATACTGAGTGAAAAGATCAGAAAATTATGTTGTTTTGTTTTTTAGACGATTTCAATAAAATTGCTCTTTGTGTCGTGAAAATAGGTTTAAAAGAACTTTACTATACACAAGAAAGAGTACAATTGACAAAAAAAGAATCAGTTGCACACTAGACAATATCAAAAGGTGTTGTCTGATGCGACTAATTTCTGCATCCTAATCTAAAAATAAAATTTTAGTTGACTGAAAAGTACGGTAGAAAGTTGCCCATTTTAGAGCCTCTCAGTATTTTCCGGATAACGTTTCATTTCCGTACTTTGTAATAAAACACTCCATACGTTTTTTGTAGAGAATCTCTCAACGATTCTTTAAAGAAATAAAATTTTTAAAAACGGAATATACTTGTTCGAATAGACTTGTTCGAGATAGAATGGATTCTGTAGAAAATAACCGCTGTTATTTTTCACAAACTGTGACTATACTCATACGGTTATAGTACTAAATACTAAAGATTTTTCCAGTGAGTACTAAAATTAGTACTAACGGGTTACAACTAATCATTCACCGTTTTGTTTTGTGGTCAGCCGAGTATATATGCACAATCGAAACATTGAAGAGATACCGTTCTTTTTCAGTTTTATGCTTCCTTTATTTTAGACTTCTCAGCTTTTTTAGATTACTGGGTAGCCAAGTCTCGCCCTTGGCTTAACCAAAACTTTCTCTCAGATGCAAGTAGTGGCGATACCACGGGTGGGCTCAGCCCACCCTGAAACCATTTGAGCCCACCCTGAAAAATCTTTTTTTCTTTTCTGTACTTTTCTTGTCTGTACGAAAGTTTAAGAGCGGCGTAGGTAGGGAGAGATTAACTTGGTTGAGAAAAATAAACACTACCCTTTTTCCTTTCCGAGTACAGTCGGGCTGAGCCCACCCCGGCTACAATTCCTGGTACCGCCGCTAGATGCAAGTCTGAGTAGCCGATCTAGGCGGATCATAGTTCCTGGTTAAGCATAATACTCAAAAATCTAAATGAGATTTTTAAGCTGACAATGGCCTCCTCGCTCGAAAGTAATAATCCTAAAGTTAGTAAATCAGTAATGTTAGTACTAAAATACTAACGATTTTTCATTAGTACTCGTTGCATTACTAAAGATGAATACTAAAGTTAGTACTAATGGTTTAGTACTTGAGCTAGGGTAATAATTCAAAAACAACAACAGCAGTTTCCAAAAAATTTGTTCTCTGGATTTGACAGCCAAGAAGTCCAATACCGACACTGGAGCATGATAACAGTCTATGAACAAGTACATTATTAGACTTAAATCAGCATATCTTTAGAGACCCGAGTGCACTATACTATACGGAAAAATATTTAGAAAAAGTTTTCATTTTTTTGTAGAAAAAGTATCAAATCGTCCAACCGTCAGCGACATTTCTCGACGTATTCTGAAACTTTTCCCAGTAAGTTCTACGTCATCTTATGAAAAAGTTTTCACTCTACAAAATGACTCTTGTTCTAAATAGGTATTTTTTAAAAAAGGAAATTGACTTTGAAATTTTCTCAGGTTTCAAATTTTCATTTTTCTCGCACCAAATATATTATATTTCAAATCTAAAAATAGTCACATTTTGTTGAATTTTCTTTTCTCTTTTGACCGAAATGTTGCTCAAAATGAACAAACAAAAATTCCTGGAAATATGCTCAAAATACTGCGTTAGCCCGAAACGGCAAAAAATCTAGTGCGCCCATTTTGAGTTTCTAAACTCTAAAAATTTAGATTTGTGAGTAAATCTGCAAGCTCTTTCAGATAAAGTCATAAAAAGGGTACGATAATTTATTCATTTACCAGTGCTTTTTGAACGGCTGGTAAACGCTCTCTTAAATAATCCATGTACTTTCGATAACTTCGCTTTTCAAGTCACGAAATATGTCGATTAAAACATTGTATGCAGAATGTTTTCACATGAGCATATGTACATTTTCTCATAAAATACAAAAGTATTATGACCATTTGGTTTCTATATCTCATTTGAAAATTAAGAAAAAAATGTCACTTTACTTTTTCTTGGCTTTTCTGTTTTCTATAGGAAACATCATTCATTCACACGATACTGGTTCAGGAAATGTAAGAGCATCTTGTCATAATGATTCATCAGTGGGCCCACAAAATTTATTTCCAGTCGATGATAGTTCACCAGTGTTAATTCGATCAGTTGAAAATGGAACATTATATCAAGTCGGAGTAGGAACAAATGATGATCAAATTTGGCTTGTGCATGTGTGGGGTATGAACGGTTATGATTATGGATATGCTTATGGTACCCTGTTAGCCAAACAGATTATTGAATTCTTGCCAAAAGGTTAGTAAATTTGATATATGGTTAATATTTAAATTGAATACTTTTTTGTCTTTTTTTCAGTATGGAAACACTTTGAAGAAGAAGTAATGGATAATTTAAAAGATTTACATTTGCCTCAATGGTTAGAAGATTTAATTTCCGATAAAGGCCTAGCATTTGCATTGGATGTGCAAGCTAAAGTCTCTGAAGCATATATGGATGAAGAACTTTTTAATGAAATGAAAGGAGTGGCTGATGGAGCTAAAGCTGATTATGCAGTGATACGTCGTTTACATTTTATTGGAGAGATAACACGAGGTATTTGATAAAAGTTTGACATTAACAAAGAATAAAACGAGAGAAGTTAAAACATTATATTTCGTTTTAGGACGTTGTTCATTATACGGCCTATGGGGAAATGCGACATTAGGCGGGAAAACATTACAATTACGAGCACTTGATTGGGATATTAATGGGGGACTACAGGATTATCCTGTTGTTACAATTTATCATCCATTGAGTGAAAAACTTGGTCATGCATTTGCCAACGTGGCGTGGGCTGGTAAGAAAGAATTTTTGTATCATATGACAGGTTGAGACCCGATGTTCTCTCGACAATCTAAAGTTTTATTATCAAAACTCAATTTTGTTTTCTGTTTTGCAGGATATATAGGAACTTTAACAGGCATGTCGTCTACACGACTTGGTATATCGGAAATAGGTGTATACTTTTCTGATGATACTTTTGGTGATGAATCGTTTTTTGGCATTCCATTTATATTTGTTGAACGCTACATATTACAGCATTCAAATACATTAGATGATGCTTTATCCTATATAGCTGATGTTCATCGAACATGTCATTTAATGTTGGCTGTAGGAGACGGGAACTTGGGAACAGCACGTATGATCCAATATTCGCACTCAAAAGTAAACTTTTTCGACGATTTGAATCTAGAACCACTAGCCGATTGGCATCCACGTATTCCCAATGTCATCTATGAAGGTATGGATTGGGTGTGCCCAAGTGTGCAGTTTAAACTTTATCAACAAATAATAAAAAATTATGGTCAAATCACACCAGAAGTATCTATTAGAGATATTACAGCTGTTATCGAGAGTGGGGATCTCCATGTGGCAGTGTATGATTTAACGGATAATATAATGTATGTGTCAAATGCTCGTGGAACAAACGAACAGGGACCATTAAAAGCATATGAAAGACAATTTATTAAATTCGATTTGAATGTTGAATTTGCACGCAGTAAAATTGTTCGATAAGAGCAAATAATTAATTTAATAAATGTGCTGAAATAACAAATGGTTAAAGTTACTTTTACTCTTTTATCTAATATCCATGAGAACGCATGTGCTCAAATATTTATTTTGAATCAATGACATTACTCATAAAACACAATTATATTCAGTATAATATAAATACTATTTTCTAAGAGAAATATGTTGGAAACGTAAACTTGTAGCAGAATTTTTTTCCGATTTTTACACATGGTTGGATAGAGCACGTCGAACTGATTCGGAAAACATTTTTTCTGATTTGATTTTCTGATTTTAAAACATTTTTTTCATGTCAGAAAATTCAAAATACTTGAAGGATCTAAATTTTCGAAAAATGCTTCAGTTTAAAAAGAAACTCAAAAATCATAACAGATAGACTAACAATTTGGTAGAAAAATTCAGCGTTTTTTTAAAATTATTTTGTAATATTGTTCCAATTTGTTCGCCATTTGTTGTTAGCACCACTTCTAAAGGGAATAGATACTGGATGTCCAAAAATGATTGCTCTTTTCTTTTATTTGCATATACCTCAGTCCAAAACATGATCAAATTATAATTGATTTTAGAAGATACGCTATTTAATTCTCTACAAAATATATTGAACATTTTTCTATATATTTTAAAAATTTTTCTTGCGTAAAAAAACGATTTTAGCAAAACTCATCCGAAAAACGAGAAAATTTGACTTTTTCTTCTAAGCACAGTAAAAGTTACTGAAATATTGAAATTGTTTCGTTCAGATATAAAAGCAGAGTTATTTTTCTTCAAAATAAAACAAATTCTACCTCAAAATATCCGATTTTGGTTGAGTTAGAAAAATTGTCTCAAGCACCCCAAAACTTCGACTTAAAATGATGATTTTTGGCAGGAAAGAAAAAAGAAAACAAAATTCGCTCCCATCTGCTTTTAATGACAAATAATTTAAAATATTGTTAGTCAATAAACCTTTTCGAGTGCTACAAATGGCTATCTTCTCCTTTTGTATATCGCAAACAAAATGGAAAAAACTAAATTGAAAAAAATGTTTTTGGGGACTGAGAAGTATTCGAGATTGCAGATTTACAGTATTTCTTCCATATTCTCTTATTTTTAGTTTGTATAGAAAAATATTCAATATGCTTTTTTGTAAAGAATTAAATGGCGCATCTTCTAAAAACAATCCAAATTTGATCATGTTTTGGGCTGAGGTATATCAATAATTTTGGCAATAATTTTGGGACACCGATAGAACCCACCATTGGCATCTTCACTATCTCAGATAATCAAAAGGTGATTACGTTTTTTCATCGTTCAATGTTGTTTTTTAGATGACTTTGTTGTCAATGAGCTGACAAATAAGAAAGATCATACCTATACAGATCATTTTGCGTATTCGAAAGAAATCATTAGTATTATCCTATTTTAAACAAAACACTTGAGTCAACAAAATTGTAGATTATTAGAAGATTTAATCAGAAAAGACGTCTCACCATTAAATTCATTCAAACGTACACGGGGTATATCACGTTGACCCTTTTGTTTCTAGTCCATCAAGGTTTCGTATTATATACAATTTACTGAGGGTCATTCATATAATTGTCGGAGCACTGAATGATTACATTGCTATTTCAAATGTATCGACTTTTGAGACGGACAACGGTTTCTTGATCAAGAATAGTATGATTTTTGCAGCGGTTATGAATTTAATATTCTTTATTTATTATGATACTTTGACCAGTCATCTAATCATCAGACGTAAATGAGTACAAAAACACTAGAACTTCACATGTTCAAACGACATTACACACACACATTACACGACTCACATAGAGAAAATGTGTAGGTTAAAACAAAGAACGAACTATGTTCTTTTTTTATATGAACATTTTTTAATAGATAGTGTTTGTTACTTTGCAGCTGAAACGCGTTTCTCATATTCTTGACTCGTTGTGCCAAAGTAAGATACTCGAAAGACAACATTTTCAGAAGATCAGAAGTTTTTCCATGTCTGAATGTTTTATTGTTGGAGGGTTCGTCCGAGTTTCGTATCAGTTATTGTTTTCAGGAACAAAGTCATTAAAACAAGAGTGATTTGTACTTCTATTTACTTCTTGAAACAAATCTGTTCGAAACTATTTAAAATATTTAGAGTAAATAAAATACATATCACCGATAAAAAAAATTAAAGTTTGTTTAGAGTTAAAGAAAAGTGCTTTTTCGTATTTAGCACACTTGATAATCTGGAAAACTTTCTATTTTTAGCGAAGGGTACCGCCAAAAAGTTAAGAAAAATTTTCAAACAAATTGACGCAGAAAAATCCCCGTGGCAAAAGTATACAATTTTGAAAATTTTTCTTAATTTTTTGGCGGTACCCTTCGCTAAAAACAGAAAATTTTCCAGGTTATCAAGTGTGCTGAATACGAAAAAGCACTTTTCTTTAACTCTAAACAAACTTTAATTTTTTGTCGGTGATATGACCAATTGCCTATATACGATGACAGTCCATTTCGTTATATGTCATTACTGGAGTACACCAGAAAAATGAAAAATGCTATGTTTTTCTGTGTCTGTTACATATAGACTATCGTCAACAAACAATATTCCCACTGGTCGGTTGAACATTTCATGCCGTAATTCTCCACGATATTCTCCATCGGGTGTAAAAACAAAAATTGATTTTGCATGTGATGAAACAACAAATAACAAATCTCGAACATATTGAATTACACGTGGTGCATCAATACGCAATCCTAGCGATGAATCGGGTATTACTTGAAGAGCTTCACCTTGTTTGGTTAACATAATAACACAACTTTTACCAGCACATGTAACGTATAGTGTATCATTATAGGAACAAACATATCGTGGTGAACTTTCTGGACCTGTCGTAAAATCTCTGTTCCATTTATAATCTTTTGAAAATACAACTAAACGATCATTATGTGTATCACATACAGTTATTTCATCTTGTTCATCAATTGTTATACCAGTCGGCCCGTTAAATGCCTAAAACTCACGTCTTCAGCAATATAAAAAATAAAAATAAAAATCATTCTCACATTTCGTGCTCTGCCTGGTTTGTTACTTCCAATAACATCGATTTTACGAAAATCTTCATCTAGTATAATTAATTTATGATTATCAGTTATTAAATAACGTTTATCACGACTAACGGCAACGTCTCGTGGTTCACGGAAACCAATGATGGTTCGAACATGATTAAAATCACGTGTTAAAATTTGTAAACGATTATTTTCCACTTCAGCGATAACCAAATGACCATCACCATTCACTGTTAACCCTGAGGGACCTAGATGACAAAAATAAATTCTATCAGAATTCCTAATGGAAACTATAAATCTGAAATTCCTTGAAGGTGCTCAGCTTATCATCAAGGATCACTTTTGCTTTGTGAGATTATTGTACCTTCCCATAATTTCTATGAACGTCATGAAGAAAGAGAAGACTAACAAAACTGCTGTTGGCTGCCATATGGCATCTTTTCTCACTCTTCATCTATTTCTTCGGAATAATGAATGAATTGTTTCACAAAAATATTGGGTTCTGAGCGTAATAACTGATTCTATACTGATTCTTACCTTTAAATTCTAACTTGGCACTCCCTTCTTGACCAATAATCTCCATTTTGCCTGTTCTTGCTACAATAATGAGGCACCATTTTTTTAAGATAAAATTAAGGTTAAAATACTGAAACATGTTTCGGTGTACATGCCTGATGCGATAGCTGCCAATTTACCATCTCCGGCTGCTGTTGAAGCACCATGAGCAACAGTTAGCGGTCGATCAAGAAAAAGCGAACCAGCTAATTCATCGCCAATTTGACAGGTTGATGCAATAAATTCTATTGTCGGTGTTGATTCAATCAAATCCTTAGCCAAAGCAGGTAAACGTTTTTTTGGTTCTATACATTGCTGTTTAACACGCAATAGTACTTCAGTTTGAACATTAACATCGGTCAGTAAATAACGTGTATCGTCAACAAACTTCTAAAATAGCCGACAAATTGAATAGAATTTACTATAATTATGTTAAACTTACATCAATGGCCTGTATTTCTGTATGTAATCGACTAACGCATCGTGCCAAATCTGATTGTCGTCTATCATGAAATTCTTGTATTTTTTGACATAAACGTTCATTAACCATTTTTAAATTTTTTTGCATTTCATCAAAACGCTTATTTGTTGTTTGAAATGCTTCGTCACAACGATCACGAAAATCACCACTTGAGTCATTGAGATCACGTTTTAAATCTTGCGATTGTTTTACTAAATCACCAATTTCACGTGTTATCTCTTGTATAACTTCTTGACGATGTGTTTCCAAACAAGTAACACATGCCGATCGAGTACAATGAGCGCATGATGTTATCGATGGAAGAGCATTACATATTTTACATTGAGTGTTTTGAACAATATCAATTTTTCGAATATGCAACAATTGCATTAATGCAACATTTTGAGATAATAACTCAGGATTAACTATTGTATGTTTAGTAGGACACATCGGACAAGCCATTGTTGTACTTTCTAACATTTCATGTCGGATACAATCGATACAAAACGTATGACCGCATGGTAGAATGCTGAAATTCATACATCATATCCCTGATTTAAGATTAGATCTCAAAAATATTTTGGGAAAGAGCAGTAATTGAGTGAAGGATCTGTATACACAGAGAACTCTAATCTTGTCATCATTCAAGTGAACCTAGAGCAAAATATGCGAGAAGAGAATTTGTAATAATTCCGTCTGTAAATAAAGAGCATCATTCATTCAGCAGAACAAAAGTGTCGTATTCAAGAATTAATGCTACAAGGAAGAAATGATCTGACGTTTCATCAGATTAGCAACATTAATTTTCTCTTCTTTCTTTGATATTGTTGTATCATAAAATCTTAATATTATAAATAATTACCGCGGATCTTTATACGTTCGATTACAAAGCGAACAACTTGTAACTTGTCGAATATATTCGAAACTA